TAGGTGGGTCTGGATTCGACCCTCCTCGGTGGTATGATGAGACAAGACCAACTGAAGAATGAGACTGTTGATTTCATGGTTTCTGAACACTGGTATCTTTTGAGAGGTAATACCATCCAGAAAAATGATTCGATAAATGTGGATAAATGTGTGAACTTTAGTTGAAATTTTGCTGGAATATCATAGTCTAGCAGCCTCAATGAGAGTTTAACATAACCAATGTGCATAAAAATGTAAATGCTATTGTTTTTCTAATAATTTCTATTTTGATATTATTCGCTATTATTGTCATGAAATTGTTACGAGACGCAGTCTGCTTCGATTGTAGTGGTTGTGGGGCTATTAAACAGATCTGCTTATTAGTTGTCTCCCAGTCCTAAGAATTCTCATCTCCTCTTGTGGTTGAACAAAAGTAGGCTGATTAGATATGCTTTAATCTCAACAGAATATATTTAGTCATTGTTGCAACTATCCTTTTCCATATGTAAATTCCTCCAACATGGGTTTGGTACTGGTACCCCTTTGGTACCGCTGTTAATGTTATACTTTACATTCTATATTTTAAAAAATATAAAATTTAGCTTACCCTTAAAACTTTTTATGAACTTGTCTTGGATTCGAGACAGTTTCGGGTTAGTGTATTTTGCATCTGTGATGGGTTCGGTTTTGACAAAATCCACTCCAAATACTACAAAAGCAGTTTGAGGAAAAGTATTCTATGGTATAATCGACAAGTCGGGCAAGATATACATCTAAAACCCAACTTAAAGGGGAAGTGTCCGAGTGAGTTATGTGATTGATTGTGTAATTATATCAAAAAGGTATTCATTAGATTGATTTTATAGCTCTTTTAAGGATCTAGTAATTGACCAAATTTGTTCATATATAAGAATATTTAGTTTATTGACCAAATTTGTTTACATAAAAGAATATTTAGTTTATTGACCAAATTTGTTTATACATAAGAATATTTAGTTTACAGGATTTCTTTTCCTACTTTTAAGTTGCAACCTATATATTTCCTCCATAAACTGAAGAAACCACTCATTGAATAAAAACTCATATCCAAAGACTCTATTATCTGACAAAACCAATATATATACATATACACAATAAGCATGAGTCGGGCAGTTCTGGTTTGGTTCTTCTTGGTGGTAACCCTAATCTTGAATTTGAGAACCGTAGGAGGAGTTGTGGGTGAAACTTATCATGTTCACATCATGAATGGTCTGCAAACTAACTCGCACGCACTAATCGTACGGTGCAAGTCGAAAAACGATGATCTGGGCAGGCACGTTTTGTGGAAAGATGGCGATTTTACTTTCCATTTGAAGGTGAATTTTTGGCAGACAACTCTCTTCTTTTGCGGCTGGAACTGGGGAAACAAGCGAGCCATGTTTGATGTTTTTAAAGCTGATGATGAAGGACATGAATGTGCCCAAACAGGAAACTGTTACTGGCAAGCTAGAGAAGATGGTTTTTACTTCACTGCTAATACAACTATGTCATGGGTCCATAAGTATAACTGGAATAATTAATTTATATATATCCATTATCTGATCTAATCTATTTTCAATGAAAAATAGTGGGTTTGAATAAAATTCTGAAATTTTTGAAGAAATATTATATTTATATCAAAACTGGCATACATATATATATTATCTAATTAATGAAATATGTAAATTTTAAATAAAAAAACAACCTCCAAAACTTTGTTCATGCTCCAATATCCTACTCATACTTAATATTCCTATTTTCTTTCTGAAGAAAAAGGCATAGAGCTCAAAAAACAATTTGTAGAAATCAATTCAAATGATAAGCATAAAATAGAAAGAGGAGAGAGAGATCAAACCAGTTAATAGCAGAAAATCCTCACTTTTGTCTTTAAGGAAACATTAGAAGTCATTTACAAACTTCTTCCCTGTTGAATTCCCTACTAAAAAACGAGAACTCAACCAAAATCCAACATATCCAGCAAGAAATGT